GTCTTTTTCACCAGTAGAAACAGACGGTTGTTGATCACGTGACTCCTGTGATGTGAAAAAAGTGTTTCATTGCAGTTTTGCGAAAAACATCAATTTCAATACGGCCGAAAAACCACCTCATCCTAGAGCAAAAACGTTTTGTCGAAAAACTAAATTTTTTTCTAAATTGACGTGTTTCCATTGAGCAAATTTATTTTCGAAATTCTGATTTGTGCATTTTCATGGTCAATGGAAACACAGCTACTAAGACACACTGTAGAATAGAACCAGTGTGCAAACAAGTGTTTGGAGTATAAGTCTTATTTTTAGAACGTTATGCACCGTGTCAGGATAAAAAAACATTGCATGTATGTTTCCCCTGAAATACTGCTTTGTTTTATTTCAACTTTTAAAAAAATAATCATGTAAAACATTTGTTAAAATATTTCTTCATGAAAATCTAACCGCTACCACCTCTCACTGCAAATCTGACTGAACAAAGATTTTTTTAAGTCTACAACATGGTATTTACTGTATAATGTACTGTTTCTATTAAACATAGTTATTTACATTTTGTAATAATACAACAGAATAAGGTATTTCACAACAAGGAATTATCTGTAAAAAGTTTTTATGCCACTCAGAATCTGCTTGTTAGATAAAAGGAGAAAGAAGTTTACCTGGTCTATGTAGAAGGCCGTCCCTGATCGAATCTCTCTCCTTTGTTTCAGGTCAGTCTCTGTGGTGTCTCTGGACAATGCAACATACTCCACTTCTCGTTTGGTCAACTCCTGATCAACAACAAGGGAGATAAATATATCTCACATTAAAATGACCACACTGAAGGTTATACTGTGTTTGATTAACTGAAGTTTAGATAAAGTCTGAAATATTAAACAGTAAGAGAACAACAAGTCTTTWTWAATACGTGCCTCGCTCAAGAAGTAAACACATAATAGTGTAAGAATAATATTTATACTTCTGGCATATGAAGGAACTCCCCCAGGGGCTGTGGCCAAGGTTTCTATAAACATGGTTTTAACGTGATTCAGCCATTTCTGTTTAGTGTCTCCATCACTGTATGGTCCGTCTCCTCTTCCATCACTGTATGGTCCATCTCCTCCTTCATCACTGTATGGTCCATCATCACCTCCATCACTGTATGGTCCATCTCCTCCATCACTGTATGGTCCATCTCCTCCATCACTGTATGGTCCATCATCTCCTCCTCCATCACTGTAAGGTCCATCATCTCCTCCATCACTGTATGGTCCATCTCCTCCATCACTGTATGGTCCATCATCTCCTCCTCCATCACTGTATGGTCTATCATCATCTCCTCCATCACTGTATGGTCCATCATCTCCTCCTCCATCACTGTATGGTCCATCATCTCCTCCTCCATCACTGTAT